GCTGCAAACTCGATAGGAGAACAGCTCTCCGATCTTATCCTTCGAGTTTTGTCATTCTTGTATTCTTGATCTGTGTTGCTTACTCGGAAAAGGTGAGGAACCTATGTGGCGTCTTACGGCCTACTGCTTTTGGCAGAGCTCCTGAAACGTTGACAAGCTGCAATAAACATGTAAAATTTGATCCTCGCGTTGGGCATTATAAGATTGATTCGGAGATTAATGGAATGGGTAAGAAATGTAACACCAAAAATGGTAAAGGAGAAATTACACACCGCTGTAGAAGCACTTTGGGGTTATATGGAAAAAGGTTCTTGTAATGAAGGTTTTCGATAGATGTTTTCAGTTCCAACAAACAATTAGTAGCATGCTGAAATGGTAGCCTCTCAGTTCTGCAGTCAATGACACCAGATGCTTTTCCTTTCTTCTGATCTCGTTCAACCGGTGAGCAACGCCCATCTGTCACTGGTGTGGACACCTCCACTTTAAAATTCAGATGATCTAATGAAACTTTTCTTCTCTTTTGGCATAATTGGATTTCTTTCTTTCCACTCCACAGAAAATTTGTAAATAAGCTCCACGACTTAAATACCATGCGCAAACACCTATGAGTATTCAAGTAAAAAATGTGAACAAATCATGTAGATTTTCATAATGTATTTCCTTAGACATAACCATTCATGATTCTTTTGTTGTCAATCATTCTCTAAATTAGTAGGTCTATTACCAAGTAACCACAACAAGAATACGGTTTTTGAACTTGTCCAAACAGCTATCATGCAGTTTCAAATTGTATCACCAAGAGTAAAAATATAAGAGTGAAAGTTCAGTACAACTGTACATACCTCAAGAGATATTCAGCAGAACTAGCTCCTGTATCTTTTGAGATGAGATAATCAAGAAGCACTTGATGATCATAGTGTATCTGTTAGCAGTGCAAACATCAGAACGGAAGAGAGTACTTGCAAATCCGTATCAATTCTATAGAAACAATGAGCTAACACTTACCTCTGCAAGAAAAATGTGAAATAAATGTACAGGGTTAAAAAGGTGCAAAACAATAGAATATGCGTTATCATATGCGGATGGATTTCCTTCTTTAACACACCTACACACAAGAATAACTGCTCAGTCTGCACATTCAAACTATAGAATACTACTATGTAAAATCAAATGTGCACTACTCACCATTTCTCAGAGCAAAGTGGGACACAAAGCAGTTGCAGGAGCATTTGAAACAAAATATCATCCTACAATTCACAAGTACAAGAAATATCAGAAGATACCCAACCCTAGGTATACAGGAAAACATAGTCCAATACAAATCCAGCACCTAGATAGCAAATGTTGTTTTAGAAATCCAAGAAATAAATAATAATCTGAAGACTAAAAGAGCCACTACTGGGGGAGGAATAACCTCATGCATATAAAGCCGGAGGAAGGAAAACTGAAAGCTCACTATAGATTCAACAGATTTCTCATGGTCCAGAAAAACATCATTAAAGAGACGTTGGAGCCATTCATGGAGCTCTTGCAAACCTCTGCTTTGAGTGCAACGCTCTATATCTAAATTCAGGTCAGAGTGAGAATTGAGATCTGTGGATGCACAGTTTTGACCACTTTTCTCCATATTGACCAAGCAAAAGGAACATCTTAGAAAAAGGAAAATCGCCAGCCTATGCAAATGCATGGATGCGATGTTTTCTTTTGCTGCATCAAAAATATATTCGCAGAATGGTGAGCCTTCCAGATATTTATCCTGGTCAGACTCCAATCCAGCTATTGGTAGGCACAAGAGATCTTGAAAGTAAAGGTGGGTGAGATGCAGCCATGAAAGAAGAACTGAACAATCCAACTGGATTTTGAAACTAAGCCTGATCATGAGTATCTGCATGTTAACATTTTGAGTGGCCAGAAAGATGCAAAAACTTCTGCTTCATTTTCCAGGGGGAAATTTATATTTATAACAGGATTAGTTGAAGAAAATTCATACCAGGAGCTTGTGCTTGTAGTATTTAGAGATATAGACATCAGAATTTTGCAAATTCCCAAGGCACCAATCCAGGAGTCTAGGAAGGATGTTCCTGATCTCACAAATAAGTGGGTGTTTATCTAAATCATCAGTAATGGCTTCAATCGGAATACTTTTTTCAACCAAGGAACACAACAACTGGATGAAATTTCCAAGAAACATAATTGCTGACTTTGATTTTGCAGGTTGGACTTGAAGCAAACCATCTGCAATGGGGTCTTCCAATCCCTTACTTGTTTGACTAACAAAAACCTGATCCAACAAATCCCATGGCATATTTGAAATAAAAGAGTTTGTCAAACCCAAGTACAGTTTGAAAAAGTGATCATCACCATCTTGTTTCAAGTTCTTTAGTATCCTACGTAAAACTTGAATGATGACAGCCACTGTTAGCCACTTTGCACTTTTATGGTGCGGATTCAATGGTGAAACAGAAGGTGCTGAATTGCAACATGAATTCTTGGCCTCCACCATTATACATCCAGTAGAAGATGGAAAAGAACTAGCAGCTGCCAACTTCAAGAGGGATAGTAACTGCATAAATTCATCCCAACTACTTCCCTAAAATGCAATGAAAGTAACTAAGTAAGATGAAGAATTGCAAATGCAATGAACTTAAGTGGCACCATATCATAACATACAGATGCAACTATGAAATCAGAAATTGCCACCAGAATGTTGCCCACTAAGTGTTGCACATATGGATATTCAATAGCAAGCAGGCCCATCTGTGAATAAGAAATGAAAAGATTAACATTTTGCATATGTAATCAAAATGAGATGGTAACAGTGCAAAACCAGAACTACAACATTTTGAAATGCAAATGTTGTTCATGAGAAGGTAAAATTATATACTGAACTTCAAAGCAACCGAAAAGAAAGCCATAAAAATGCTGCTCAAAAATGTCTACCATCTAGATGATGGTGTCCCAAGTCCCAAGACATGATGAATATAACTATTTTAATCAATATGTGGAACATGTCAAATGCATTCAACGATGACTTAAAGGCCTTTCATAACTTTATGATTTATCAGCTAAAAAACTCACCAAAACGCTGATGGACTTTGCTAAACTATAGGGACTTTCAGCTTCTGATCCAGGAACAAGGCCAACGCCAGCAGAATTTCCAGTCACTTCCTACAAACAAAGTTGTGGACGCATGTTTGAATACATAATTTCTTTCCAAAAAAAATCCAAATTTCGAGAAATAACAATAGAGAGGATGAGAACTGACAGTATCGGAATCAGACTCCACGCCGTCGGAATCAGAATCGGATGCGAATTCCACCGTCCACCGCTTGATTTGTGAGCAAACTTGAGAGAGCGCGATTAATAGCTCCTTTACATTTTCCTTGTTAAACGAAGTAGGCATAACCTCCTGCAAAACACAATCGTTGTTACTATATAAAATACGAGAGAAGTTTCGGAGTCGTGCGCGGCGGTGAAAAGTGTAAGAAGAGAACTGCCTGCGCCGACGAACTTACAACATACGGACGGAGAGAATCGTCGATTAGACTACAGAGCCTCAAGTGTACTTCCTGGTCACTCATTCTCCAGTTAACCTTAGAGCAAGCGCGGCCGTTAATGTTTCCGGCGATGACAGGGCGACTGTCGGAGTGGCAAATCCGGAAAATAAACGAATACTCATATTTTCGACAGTATTAAAATAAATATAATCAGATATATCATACGGAATTACTAAGTAAAATAAAATATTCATTTCAAAACAATAATAATAAAATATTTATAATTAATAAAC